GATTTAAAAAATCTGAAGTGTTTTGCCCATAACCGACGATTAGTAAAAGTATTCTAGAGTTTTATGAAAGCGCGTTTTACATACTTCTTTACAATTTTATGAACACTAATAATCTTTTTGTTAACGTATCTAGAAAAATGTGAATTTTTATCTTAGTAGAGTTTCATTTTGTGCCGTCCGAATTATACGAAAAGTAACTCGTCAGTAACTTCTGGTAACAACTGGAACTCAAATATTAAATTTCAAGAAATTTCATCAATCCGTTCCGTAAATATAGTAAAATATGTAAAATGGACGCCAGATCAGTGTCTTTAAAAAAAATCTTTAGATTTATTGTTTTAACATCTCGAGTTTAAATATTAAATTTCAATGAAATCGATTGATTATTTTTCTTTATATATACAAAAATGTATATTTGGACCGTAGTCAAAGCTCAGTTGCTGACACATGATTTCTTCCAAAAGTAAGGAGGTTTAGCGGACGGATGGATGAAGGTTATATATAAAATTTCATGTAAATCTGCTGAATATTTTCTTCAAAATGATAATAAATGTAAAACAGGCCCGGTAAAAGATCCAGTTCCCGAGGTCTGATATATCCCAAAAGTTGACCAATCCGTGACATAGTCGAAATAAACTTACATATAAAATTTCACCAAAAAAATTTCATATAATATAAAATTTCATCAGCCGAACTTGAAATACACGCGTGCACACACAGACAGACAGACTGACATCTCTCTAAAAAGTTTATTTATGCTTCTTTACTGTGTAGAAGTGCGTTACCACCGGAAACTCGACATCCAAAAAATTTGATGAACCACCTTAGTTTTGTTTAAATCAAATTATTCCGTATAATATTTGTTAAATATTATTTAGTAAAAATGGTAATAAAAAAGATGATTACTAAGAAGTTTTACACAATCACATGGCGTAAATGTAAAAGTTAAGCGGTCAAAACTTGCTGCTATTTCAAATTCATAAATTGTACCATAAATAAATATACTCAGTTTACTTGGATTCATAGTCGCTTTCAGAATTGTATAATTCAAATTATAAATCTTGTAATAAATAATTTTAAATATTCGAACAAAAAAATCAAATTTTTCGGAGTACCCTGTTAGTTTTCTTTTACGACTACACTTTTGTCGGCAACCAACTGTAAATTATTTATAGAAGTTTAAAAATTCCATTGACTGGAACTTAAAAGAATTTTTTTTTTCTAATTTTTTTTATAAATTTTTTACTCGTTTACTCCTGACTTTTATTCACTTACTCATTTTTTTTTTTATTATGTTGTTTTTTGTTTTTAATTTTCAACCCAACAAAACTTTATTTTTTAAATCGAATTCTGTATGGAAAATTTTCATTTTCATTTATATATGTATGTAGGTACACTTATAGATACTTACAAAAGAGTATACTATTTCATACACAAACATACGCAAGTATACAAGCATAAAGACTGAAGTATACGCGTATTCAGAAATAATATAAAATTTTCTAAGTAATATTTTTTAACTCACACTCTATATTACAACAGTTATGATCCATATCGTACTTATTTGTTCTATAAAATGTACAAATTTACAATATTGTGTATTACACATAGGAGTTTATATTGTATATTTTTAGGCGCAATAAATATTAGAATGCTGCCTTATAAAATAAAAATAAGAATAGCAAGAACCTGTATAAAAATGAGCAAAAAATAAAACAAATTTTCATGTTACGGTCGAATTTACAGACCAGAACGCTATAAGAAGCATTAGCTTTATGTGTACTTATACCTAACTTATATAGTGTATTTGTGCACATTTTAATCCATACCAAGTAATAGTTAAAAGTGTATCGTACGTACTACCAATCTAAAATAAATTTATTAAGGATAGAAAAAGGATTAAAATGGGAATTTTGTTTTTATTTTACTTAAAGTACATTAATGTTATAAAAAACGAGTGCGAATAAAATATAGTCCATGCGAAAGGGAAACTTGTTCTTTTTATTTTTCTTATTATTTGTTTTTATATTTTGGAGCATTACTAATATACCCTAAAGCTCAAAAGTTTAATAATCTTATCCTTAAGTGGATATAACTTATGTTTTAATGAACAAGCTGATTTGCTTTTAAGAAGGTTTATCTATACTTTCTCATAATATATACATTTAAAGATCTTGCTATATAGATACGGCATGTATTTCTTTTTTGTACTTATGAAATATTTACATACATATGTATATATTATGTTTAAGCATTCAATATATGTATGTATAAAAAGACATTTTTAAAAGAATTTGATTTTGTTTAGTTTGTTTACAAAACTTTTTTTACATAATTTTCTCTCATCTTTGTGCGAAAATTATCCTTAATTTGAATGAATTATGAGATAAAAATCAGTCAGTTTTCTTAGGCCTACCATTTTTTTTAAAGCAAATATTCAGCATTACACAAAAATAAAACATGGTGTCAGGATTTAGGTTAATTTTTCTTCTTTTTTGTTTTACACATCTTTATATCCTTAGATATTATATCAAAACACATTATAAATGTGCTGTTCCAATGTATACTCATTTAAAAGATGAACATGTAAAAAAATTGGTTAATCTACAATTATATGATTTTTGTTTTCAATGTCTTAAAAGTTATTCGATGTAAAGTCTTATATATTTTTTCAATAGCTAATTTTAGAGTCTCATAAAGCTCAATACCATTAGTAGAAAGTCCAGCCTGGATTTAAACAGTAACCAAAAAATCTCATTTTATGGTACCAATTAAAATGTCATGATAAATATCAAATTTTATTTAAGTAAAAATAAAACTCCAAGACAACTAAGAATACTCGTATGTCATGACGGCTGTTTTGATTTTAAATTTTTTTATTCAAAAAAAAACAATTTTAAAGATTCGCCGAATACTCAAAATGTTTATGCAACAAAATTGAACTCCTATACATTATACATATACTGTGTCAATAATCAATATGATTGATTTGAAATGGTGTTGTTATATCTTTTATTATAATAACAATGATATTTTATTCTAACAATGATATTTTATAAAGTAACATGAGACAACCCAAAATTTTGCTAAATACATTTTCATTTTTACCAAGTAAAAATATAAATAAAAGAAACTTTCTGACTGTGCTAGACAACATGTACAGTATGAATGTATTGAGAATTTGTTTTTTTTTAGAAAATTAAAATTTTTCACCGCTAAACATTTAGGTTCAAAATTATACGAATTCCCGACTTCATTGTGTATTTAGTGTTCTAAAGAAAGCGATTAATTTTTTATTTTCCCTCTTTTTTTCTGTTCTTGTATTTTTTATATTTTAAGTAGCGCCTGTAGGTAACGTCAGCTAATTAACCATTTCTCAAGGATTATAAATATTTAAACTGACTTGTTACCTGCGTATAAATTGTTCAGATTAAATACAAAAAAAAGTAAGATAAGAAAGTTATAAAGGGAAATATGGTTGTTACGTTGTTATTTTTTGTTTTCTATTTCTTGGTAGAAAATATAGATTCATGTTTTTACTCATTTTATTCTTACACAATTAATGTATAATATAATATAAATTTCGTTTGAACCTTTAAGTTAATGAACAGTAAATAAGAGATCATTTAATAATTCATTAAGGTACGTAATAATGAAATTAAAGACTTCTTTCAAAAGTATATGGGAATTAACGAAGTATTGTTTTTTATTTATTTACATTTGTATATGAGTTTGTTTGCTATAATTTCATAATTTAGAGTAGAAAATCCTTGAACTTTTTTTACAATTTTTGGAAATTATTGAATTAAGTTGACTTGAAATAAAAAACAAATCACAAATAGAAAGACACACAGCAGGAAATGATAAAGTTTTATTTCACGATATATTTTTTTCTATTTGAAGTCAAAATAAAATTAATTCTTAAATATTCAAGTCTTAAATTGGAAGGACTTTGGAATTTGAAAAATTTATTTTTAATATTCTTTGTATAGTTGGGTACCGTACTTCGTATAGATTCCTTTTCTATTTATTTTCAATATTTTGTATTGTAATTGCACAGTGTATGGGAGTATATAATATGCCAAAGTACACAACCACTTCAAAACCTTAAAGAATTTTTTTTCAATATCCTTGATATTAAGAAATAAAATAATGATTTTTTCCTTCTTCATAAATTTAACATTCGATTACGAACGTAAAATTTTCCGCATAAAGAAACCAAAAAATAGAAAAAAAAAATAAAGAATTATTAAATTATCCTTCGTAATTTTTAAATCTGTCGGTAGGGTCCTCAAACTCCTTTCAAATATTTTCTCATTATTTATAAATTTTCTCTTACGTTTTAATTTTTTAGAAATGAAAAAAAATTAAATTGCTGTTTAAGGGTATATGCTGCTTTATATACTCAATATTGTTGTAGCCCAAATACAGTAAAAAAAAAAATAAATAACAGGAAAAACTGCTCTGTCAGATTTTCCGACTAGGAGCACACAATAAAAAAATCAACCTAGAATAAGTAAAAAATTAGTTTCTATAAACCTAATTGAAATTTTTCGAATCCATTTAGACTTTCTGTTCAGGTTTTTCATTTTCCAGGAAAAATTTATTCGATGGCAATTTATAACAAGAAAATAAATTGAAAACTACACATTCTTTTTTTGGTTTCACTTGAATTTTTCAGTTTTATCCATGGAACAAGCACCATTTCTTTTTTTTTTCTTTGCCACTTTTAAAAAATTATTGTTAGTTATATGTGAATTTGGGAATATTAAAAATATACGTAGAATGCATTAAGAGCCATATTTCTATTAAATTGCTTTTATTTCTTGTATCCGCAAATAATCCTGTATCCTAATTTCAACGAGACCACATACTCTCAGTTACAGCAAAATTATTATTACGTATTCACATACAATCACAAACATGTTTATTGCAAAATATACGTTATTACTGAGTAAATTTTCTGAATATTGACTTATAATTAATTTTTTTTATTTCAGATATATTCAAGATACTGAATGGTCAGCGTGTAGTGTAACTTGCGGTGAAGGTATTCGAAGGAAAGAATGGAAATGTAAAATTTTTCTTGAATATTCAAAAACTGTGGCCACAGTTAATAATAGTTTATGCGAAGGACCACCACCAAAAGCTGAAATCGAACATTGTGTTATGGATCCATGTATGTTACCATACGGTTATGATGATCAATACCCACGTGATTCTATTAAAGTGGGTGTATCGGAACCAGGAAAAACATACGTATGGCGAGAACAGGGTTACACTAGTTGTAGCGCGTCATGTTTAGGTGGGGTCGAAGAACTGATAATCAATTGTGTTAGAGAAGACAATGGTAGAGTTGTATCACCATTTTTATGTTCACCAGAAACAAAACCAGAAGCGCGTGTTCGAACTTGTAATGATCGCCCATGTCCCCCACGGTGGAACTATTCTGATTATTCACCATGTTCGAAATCATGTGGCATTGGTATTAAAACACGTGAAGTACAGTGCATACATGAAGTAACAAGAGGTGGAGAGAATACAATGGTGGTACCAAATAATATGTGTCCTCAACCACCACCACCAGATCGTCAATATTGTAATGTATTAGATTGCCCCGTAAGATGGGAAGTTGGCGAGTGGTCAAAATGTTCTCATACATGTGGTCAAGGAGTCAAAGAAAGAAAAGTTGAATGTAAACAGATAATGGCACAAGAACATAAAATAGAGCGCCCCGTTTCAATGTGTCCAAGTGCAAAGCCAGCAACAACAAAACCTTGTAATGTTAAAGCATGCCCACCGGAAGATCCTAAACCAATTATACAAGTTAGTAACTCAACATATAAGCAACATGATCCGAAGAAAAATAAAATTTCTCTCAAAATTGGTGGCGCTGCTGAGGTATTCTTTGGTACACAAGTAAAAATTAAATGTCCTGTAAAGCGTTATAATCGAACAAAAATTAGATGGAGCAAAGATCATAAGCCATTACCGAAAAGTAGAAAATTCAAGGTATCCAAAAAAGGTGCCTTACGTATTCTTGACATAACATTTAGAGATAGTGGAATTTACTCATGTCATGCTGGATTAAGTTCAGCTGAAATTAATATTGATGTGAAAGCCAAACCTGGTATGCAAGTCGAAGATTACGATAGACATCGTGATGAATCAGGTACAAATTAAAAATTTTTAAAATGTGTAAAAATAAAAATTCTTATTAAAGTTTCAATACCTTGTTCGACAATTTAAATTTAAAATTTATGATCAAAGGTGAACTGTGTATGTTCAGAATAATATATTCTGATAATTTTCTTTCTTTTTTCAGATCGATCCGTCCGGGAACGTAGTGAAACAGAATTTTTAACATCAGCCGATATGACATCAGAGGATAGGTATGATTTATTTATGTATAAATGTATATTTAATCCAATATTATAAGCATTAGTATTCAGAAGATTGAACTTTTGGAAAATTAGTTTTTCTTAAAAATATATGAAAAAATTGTATAAAATTTCCAAAAATGCTATGACCACATATAATATGTAAGATAACCGCAAATTATAAAAAAATGCAATAATGTGGACTTAAAACTTCTTAAAAAAATTCTTTTTCTTTTCTATACTACTTCTGTTTATTTTTGCGCATTAAAATTTCAAAAGTAAAATGAAATTAAATAAAATTATTATAAAATTTTTGTATAGCTATGAATATAAAGATTACATATAAGAAATTTACTCGTATTTAACTTAATTTCATGGAAAAGTTCTTAATGCTAACAAAATCTCAAGATAATTTTTTATTATTTTGTTATTAAATGTTTAACTTTTTCACAGAAGTCGTCTCGGCAAGTGGAAAAGCAAGAAGAAAGAGGAATTTTTCTAGATCAATCGATTCATGATTCAATTGAAAGACTTAAAAAAAGTCTCTTTTGTCGATAAAACAAATTATATTCGAACAAAACCATAAGTTATACAACCGTATACATAATTGCAATTTTTATTATAAGTTTTAATGAAAATCTAACCAAATATTTAAACGTGATATAATCTTCATTCAATTCATAATTCTCTTGAAATTTTATTTGCACATGTGTAAACAAATATTGATTATTTTTTTAATTTTTAAAATTATTAATATAACATTAATTTTAAATATTTCGTACATACATATATGAAATAAATATTCTTAAAAGAATAAATTATGTACACATAGAACAAATTTTAGTATACAAATATAAAAAATTTACAAGATGTAGAAGTTGTCATATATGCAAATAAAAGAAAAACAAGAGGAGAATGTAATAATAGAATTTTATGATTTTATTTTCCCAAGAAATGAATTTCATTAAATAAATAAATGCAATTTAAAAAAAAACTTTCTGTAACTACACAACAAAAGAAATATTGCAACCAATCTGGTCATGTAATAAAATTATAAGGCTGAAGGAAAAAAGTCCCAAGTTGAGAGGGTAAATATATAAATGAATTCACACTTCGATTTTAGATTTAAACTTTTGATTTGTTTTGGAACTGATTTTGGATTCAAACTTAATTCGGTTGAAACAATAAAAAAGATATAGAAAACTAATTAGTATTTGAGGGATATATTGAATATTTGATTTCAACAAAAAAAAATTGCATTTAAAGTTTTTTTTTAAATGAAGTATAGAAACGGAAGGGGCTCGGTTGTCAAACCGCGATCAGGTCACTATAAAAATTATATTCAATATTATAGTTTTAATATACAATACTTATAAAAAATACTTGATATTAAAACTATGAAAAATAAACAGTATCAATAATCTTAAATCTTCAATATAGAGAAAAAAACTACGGCAGGCTAGTTCTACCTAGTTAAAAAAACTGAATGGCGCAATGAAACTGGGCATGACTATCTATGATATCATGCACTAATGCTCCTCCTAGGAGTGAAAAAGGAAAAAAAAATAGCCGCTTCAAATGCGAGTTTTTTCCAATAATCGCATATAAACCATGCAGACACTACGTAAAACAAAGAACCCTCGTTTTTAGCTTTGCAAATCTTATTTAATCAGGCGCATCTGACACTGGAACGTTTTTGGACTTAATATTTCAAATCACTAAATGTCAGTTATAAGGACTTTTAGTGATTTCGGAATCGGTTCAACTGTGAATATTGTCTCCATACAGAAGTTTTACTTGCTCAAGATCCATTCTATATAATTTATTCTATACAACAGCAGAATTAAGGATTTTTGATCAACTGGTTATTCCAGACATAAAAATAAAATTAAATAGTTATCCATTTATAAAAAAATAAAAAATAACATCCATAAAAACTTGAAGCTTATTTCCAATCAAAATTTACGATCTAATTTTCGGAAACAATTAAAAAAAAAATCTATTTCGTAGGAATGATCTGAAATTATTTGAACTAAAAAATAGAAACTAAAGAACTAAAAAAGGACGTCCTTAATCTTTACTTTTTTTTAGTCTTTCCTTTCAGGATCCAAGCTCATCTAGGATTGTAAGACCAATTTTATATAGCAATAATAACAGATTTAGAAAATAAATCATAAAGAAACAGAAAATTATACGAGTATTGGATAGCATTTTGCCAATAAGAGCAAAAATTATAGACTAGAAATTATATACCAAAATTCACATCTTAATGCTTTTAATTCACAAACAAGAGAAGTGACATATGAGCTTAAAACAGATGGTATTATTTCATTGGTATTACTTAAACATTCTTTCTAAGTAATATAGCATACAACTTACAAAACTTAAGCTGAAATTTACATAACATATATAATAGAGATATAAAAACTTAATATTCTTATATGAAATTATAGTGTTTATGTACTTATGTTTGTGTTGTGTATCTGCATCAAAATGAATAAAAAATATTATTTATTTATGTTCTCTGTTAAAACTTACATGGCCAAAATTAGTTTTTATCCCCATATAACATGATGAAAAAAGCAGAAACACAAACAAAATACATAGAACCAAAAGTACAACAAAACATTTTTTTTCCCAAAAAGCAACGACAATAGCCCAGCATAATACAAAAATATGATATTAGATTCAAGCCTATTCACATTACTTGACATACTATGATATACTCATATTAATCTATTTGTTGGTCTGTTTAAACGTTAGGTATATTTCATACAAATCCCATTCCTATATAGACAAAAATTAAAAAACAGAAAAGAAACCCCGATTATAAAAAAATTCATCACTTGATGAAAAGTCCATCCTTTTCTTCAATTTTTGTTATATTTCTCATTTCCATAGAGTTACCAGCATTAAAAAAATTTTGGGTGATAGAATAAGCCATTATTTCACAAAACGTTTTCCATTTTGTATTATCGGGAATGTAAACAGTGATATAGAGATTATTTATATAGCTTGAATTGTTTTCCCAATATGAAAAGAGGAACAAGAAAAATAAATTTGATGATCAAAAAAACAACCAAACTTTCATACTTTCAAATTTCAATCAATTTTATGAATGTTTTCAACAATAATAAAATGCTCTTCGAATAATATTTGAATATTAATTGAACCAAAAAGTCAGTCATTTGACAAAATAGGTCAAGTGTTAAGTAACATTTATTAAAAAAAGCTAGTTTTTTAACTTCTAATAAGAAGTTAGAACTGATTCTAACAAGATTGAACCTAAAATCCAAATGTTGAAAACTTTTCCTTTTTTATTACCGCACAATATATCTAGCCCATTTGACCAGATAGTTACGGTTTCAAATTGCATTTTGCAAGAAATTTTCCATAAACGCCGAAAAATGTGTAAGTTCTCCAAAATTTTTATTTATATGATAATAATCATTTTTATTTCAATGTATTCAACATGTATCTGATTTTTTAAATAAAAATGGGCAACTGAGGACAAGTGGTAATGAGAAAATCTGATTTATAGCAAAATACCTATCTTTTTGATTCATCATTTATTTAGATAATTGGCTTTGTACTTCTACTTTGGTGAAAGTCGAGTAAATATTATACTTTAAATGAGACAACTAATATTTCTTTCAGTTTTTAATTAATTCAACATTCTTCCAAAATTACATAAGAAGAAATTGTAGCAAAAAATACATCTACGAGTATTAATATAAACAATATGGAGGACGAATAATTAAAATTTATATAAAATTAAAATTCCCAAAATGGTTAGGAAAAATAAATATATTATAAACCACCATTAACAACCAAAACATTATAATTTAGTATAGAATAAGAAATAAAACGAATTTTTCAAATTGGGATTAAAAAAAATTTGGAATGTAATAAATTTTAAGCTTAATCTTAATCTCAGTCTTTCAAAATTAGCTGATAATCAAAACAATTTGAAATTTTGAAAATTACATTTAAAATTGAAGTGGATTGCCACCAACGAAAGTGTAATTTCTCTCAAATATAACAATTATACTCGTATTAGATTAATATTTCAAAGCAAAATAAAACTAGTCTTTTTTCTCATTGTCCCATTTCAAGTAACTCTATCCTGAGATTACTATATTGCCCTTCAATTTGTAATGACTAAATATATAACCTAAATTTAATCATATGTGTATACAAAAACGAAACACAAACTATTATAAAATATATGGGTATAGGTCCTGTTATTATGTTTATTAGATGATATATTGCAATTTCCTGTTGGTTAGCATCTCCAATATAACGTATAGAAGAAATCCAATTTTGTCTGTACTTTACTTTTATTTTGTGTATTTTTCTTATTTATATTTCTTGATTTTTAATTTCAGTAAAAAGAAACAGAAGGATAGGAATAATAAAGAGAAAAGTCGATTGAAATCGGGTGACGGGATGCAACATGCAGACAGTAGTATAATGGAAGATGAGGTATTATAAACTTTTATATAAGAAATAAAACTTATTTTGTATATGACTTTTACTATTATTTTTCTTCACTTTTTTTATTGTTCGCTTGTTTGTTTTTTATTTATTGTCCTTGTTACCGAACAAAAAAAAAGGAAAAAAAAAAAACAAATTGTTTGCTTTATTTTGCTTGAATTTTTTTTTTGTTATTTTTACAAGAATAGATTTGTCAGTGTTATTATTTATTTTGTTCTTGCTTTTTTTCCTATATTTTAGTTCCAGTGCTATTTTAGTTACTTTTTGTGTGTTGGTTTATACATTTTTGAATAAACAGTTATTTTTCTAATGTTTTTGTTTATGTTTTTTGATCATAGCATTTTGTTTGTATTTCTCCGATATTAGTCATATAAATATAAAGAAAGGATATCAGGTTGAATCCCCAAGGATATATAAATGATGATTTCCTTCCTCCAATCAATGGGGCCTGTTTCAAAATAAAAAAAATTTGTTATCTTTTTGTGTTAATATGAAATGTGGGATATTTTTTATTAAAAAAATTTCTCTTTAATATTAGCCATTTTTAAAGTAGGTCTTTGGTTTTATATGAAGTTATTGATTTGTTTAAAAATCTACAAAAATTTTGTTTAAAAAAATTTTTATGTTAAAATTTTTGTAAGAAAAATTTATTTTAATAGTAATAATGTAATAAAATTGATTAAAAGAACAATATTTTTAAAAAATTATTTGAATTTACGCAAAAAATTTATTCAGTACACAAAATAATGGTTTTAAAACGAAATAACTGTAATTACAGAATTGGGTATTGTTGCATTTCAATATTGTACATTAAAGAATCAAGCTGTTTTGCCTTCTTTTTTCAAAAATGGAATCCATTCATGCTGTCAAGAAAACTGAACGCAACAATTTTAATTTCAATAACTAAAAAAAAAATTCATATATTTAAGAGCTTCTTTAAAAAATCTTTAAAGTTAAAATTAATGCAATAAATTTTAAGCATTTTTAAATACCACTCCGAAATATTAATTTTGTTTTCTCTAAGTACATATTAGGGATGAAGTGTTTGCATATAGCAATAATAATGAGTCAAAAGGCACCGCATAAATTAACTATTACCCACAACATACTTCCTGTTTATCTATGAAAGTAATTAAAAATTATGAAAAGGGATTATATCTGGACCTTTAATTACACTTTTTATAAAGTGTAATTAATAATTAATTCATATTTTATCCCTTATTCTTTCTATGTATTAAAACCATTTTTATTTCATTTGCTTTTTATCCATAATTCAATTGAAAACCAATAAAATAATCATTACAATTCATACAATTTAAAATTCTTTGATTCCATGCATTAATTATAAATGTGTTTTTAAATTAAAATGCTCGATTTTAAAAATCAATTCGTCATTAAGAACGCAATATAAATTTATTTTTCTTATTCTTTTTTTTCATTCCATTATATTTATTTATCAATAATTAATAATTTTATATAATATAAAAACAGAGAAACAAATTTATATATTCATACACGCACACGTTATTGTTATTCGTACTTTTATTTTTAATTGTATGTGTTCTTTGTTCTTTATTGACTATACAAAATATTATACATATTGATTATACAAAAATAAACAACAAAACAAAAATATAATTGTTTTATATTAAAATTTAAATTAAAGAATTTTAAAGAAATAAACTGGAAATGAATAAAAAATAATTTTTCAGTCACAACTTATTCAACAAGCTCAAGGTGGTATTCCGCCTCCAACGACTGCAACAAGTTCTGGTTCTAGAAGTATTTTAAAAATGCCCTATTTTGAAGCACTTCTTGCTAGTTTACAGGTGAGAATTGTATAAACCAAATTCAACTTTTAAAAAATATAAAATATCTTCAGAAAAATAAGTGTTAAAACACGGACAGTAAAATATTTTCATAGATTTTGGTTTATATAATCATGTGTTTTTTCAGTACACACATACATACATATATACAAAATATGCACACGTGGCATTTTTTCAATGGAAAAAAATGTCATCTGATTCTTTGCCATTTTCTTTTATTTTTTTTTTTAAATTTTTCAATTCATTTTACATTTTTCTTTTTATTTATGTTTTGTGATTCCAGAAGACTGAAAATATCTATAATTATTACAATTTAATTTTATAATTAGTATGTTTTAATTAGATTTTTCAGAAGTTGTTCTTTATTTTATCTTTATAATTGTTTTTTAAAACAGCAACTATACAATTATTTCGTTTGAATTTCTTTTTACAAGCATTATTTTTAATTTCTAAATAGAAAATACGATTTAAAAAACATTTTTTAAAATTTTATGAAACTAAATTTAATTTAAATCAAATAACTAGAGTAAATTTTCATCTCACGTCGACATTAAAATTAGTTTGGAGTTAGCATATTACGTTATTGTGGAATTTATAATAAATTTTCTACTGACTAACAAGAAAATTTTAGGAAAGTATTAAATATCCGTTTCGCAATTCAGAGTTATAAAAAAAAAGTAAAAAAATAAATCAAATATTGAAAAACTATCTTGTACGATGTTTGTAAATATAGTAAAAATCATCGTCATCATTTAGTCATCGGGAAATTAACCATTAATAAAGTCTAGTAGAGAATAACATTTTACATTTGCTTTGATACTGTTATGGCAAAAACAAAGAATGATGTTTTTTTAAACGGTGCTAGTGATCGAGATCGTACATTTTATTTATTTATTACCGTCCGTATACAGGGAGGCAGAATATATGATGGCAACAAATTTTGCATTCTTCGGTGGAAACGCAATTCTCCGTAGTAGCGAAGTGTAAATAAACTATTTTTAGCAACCTATCGGTCTCTCTGTCTGTGTGTGCACTGACAAACTGAACCTTTTTGCGTGTCGATTTCACATTTTTGCGTATGTAAAGAGAAATAATCAACCAATTTCCTTCAAATTTAATTCAGGATGTTAAAACAATAAACATATAACCGAATAGGGGCCCGATTTTACATTTTTTATGGAACAGATTGATGGGAATTCTTGAAATTGAATATTTGAGTTCTGGTTGTTATCGAAACTAACTGGTGAACTTTTCACAGAGCCAAATTAACACTTTTTTAGGTATGTTAACTAAAAGCTTGCTAGTGATATTAAAATTGTAAAAAAGTGTTCGAAACTCATTTTCATAATCTTCTGCAACACTTGTATTAGACTACATGCATTGTGGGCGGTTATGTGCTCATCATATCAGATTTTTTTTACCTTTTTAGCACTTTTTTTTTTTAAAGTACTAATAAGTACTTTTTTCAAAAATTTTAAAAAAGTACTTATTAGTTTCACTCTATCGTCCGTGGACGACAGTTTCACACATATCCGTGGACATGTGTCTGTTTACAAAACTTTTCTACACCCCTGAAGATAGAAAGTTGAAATTTTATTTGTGCATAAATCTTTACTAGAAACTAATTTTCGCACAAAAAAAATTTTTACCTATTTCGCCCTCTCTAAAAGTTTACTTCTCCAAAACACTAAAAATACCATTTTTCAACTATTTATTACAGCGAAACCATAAGCATTTTCAAATTGAGTAGTGGGTTGCTTCTTCTATGGCGGTATACTATAATTAAACATTAAAAAACAAAATAGCCGTTAAAATTTACTGTTATCTAAAATCTGTTTTTTCCAAACTTTTGATTTCGTTTTTCTCCTAAACCCCAGGTTATAAATGTCTGAAACGGCTTTCAGACACTAATAAATAGTTCGCTTCGTTAGAAAAAAATTATTTTCAACCTCCACCCCCTCTTAAGTTATCGCCTCCCGATAATTTTGAAAGTGTGGTAGGTATACCTAGATTGTTTTTACAAGCAGTACTTTCACATGTTGAAGGGAAAAGTGCTACAATACAAACAATTGGTTGGACCTAACTTTATTTTATTTAAAATTATTTATTGTTTATAAATAATTAAATAAAAATTCTTTAATAGATTCTTTGTAATAAATATTATTCTTTGTAATAGATTCAAACTTAAATTTCATTATTTTTAGTTTAAATTTGCCTTAACTTCCAATATAAAATATGTTATTGCAATATAAAATGGTTAAACCAAATTTTATCAAATATGTAAAGTAAATTATTTGTGTTAGTTATTGGAACCATTAGGAATTTTCATATAAAAATGAAAAAATTTCCATAGGCGAAATTATTTATTTAATTTTTTTCCGAAACAAAAATTTATTTCAAAATTCAATAAATTAGTTAAAAATAAGGAAAAAAATAAAATTTTTGATTCTCATCTTCAAGATCTTAAGATATTTTATCTTACAGAATTTTTGAAATTGTTGATATTTGACACTTTTTATGCAGAATTCCCAAAACATTGTAAATATTAGGATCAACATAATAGTGAAGCATAATTATTAATTTTAAGAAAGTGAAATATTTTTTAACGAAAAAACTGTAGTTTTCACTTAATTACCCTAACGACAGTGTTAGTTTCAGAAAATCAAAATCTATTAGAAAATGAAATCGACTTAAAGTGCACTATTTTCCTCTACTTTTAATACCCGTACGAACGCATGTTCGAGGGTATATTAAATTTGCCTTACCGTGTGTAACGCTAACAAATAATGGTCTGAGATATAGACTCAAGTACATGTTTTTGATCAGAGGTCGAATTCTGGGTCGATTTAGTTTTGTCTGTCCGTCCGTCCGTCCCAACGATAACTCAAAATTAATTGCTCTAAGTATGATATGTTATAGTAAATGCCAGAACCCTATTTAAATTGGATATGATCTTGGTACTGGTTCCAGTAGCTGCCATACAACCTCAAATTATCATATATATATTTAATATTCTAAATAGCCATAATTTATTTGGCTCTATCTTAAAAACTATAAAAGCTGTGGTATTGAAATTTCGAACGAGTAAATATATTTGTAGGTCCAATGTGTTTGATAAAAGTCGTTGAAATTGCTCGGCTCCTCCTGGTAGCTACCATATAACTTCAAAAGTTATTTGGCTATACCTCAGAAACTATAAAAGCTGTGATATAGAAATTTCACACAAGCGAATATATTAGTAGCGCCGATGTGTTTGATAAAAGTCACTGAAATTGCTTGGATCTTTCTATAAGCAGCCGTACAACTTCAATAGTAGTTTGGTCATATCTTAAAAAATATTGAAGACACAGTATTGAAATGTTGCATAAATTAATATGGTAACTTAAAGTTATAGTCTGTCCCATAGTCAGCTATGATATATTTATTCGCACATAGGATAACAAATTCGTACGGGTATCGCAGAATTGACACGGTCAACCCTATTTTTTCTCGCTTCATTTATAACTTTTTTTTCTAATTCAAAGTTTTCATTTTGCTATTTTATGTAGTTGTTTAATTTGCTTTTTATAACTGAAAATGTATTTTCTACAATATATTTTGAAGTTTTAATAAATAACCTTTTTAATATACAAAAAAGGTTAATATTATTTCAAATACCTTTTGCATTGAAATTCCTTATTGAGAAAATATCCTTATAAAATTTTTACTAAATTAAATTCCAAATTAAAATAAGGTTGACAATCTTTTCAATACAAACAAACTTTACTCGTTCCACGTAATTAAAGTGAATATAAGGCGATGTTAGATGAAGTGAATGTAGGAAAAGGGTTTCTCTAACTTTCTATGAAATTCCTTTATTTTTTTATGAATTAAATGATAAATTTTCAAAATCATACCTTTCAAATAAATAAAAATTTCATAACATAAATTTTGGAATAGAAATTAAAAAAAAAAAAATCTGATGTGGCCAGCACATAACCGACCGCATTGTGCATTGTCTAGTTAAGTGAAAGTGTTACAGAATATTATAAAAATGCCTGTTAATTACCTCTTTCCAATTTTTAGGGCATTAGTAAGCTTATAGTTAACATAGCTAGAAAAATGTAAATTTGGCTCTTAATAGAGTTTCACTTTGTGCTACCCGAATTCCCTGAAATGCTCGTCAGTTAGTTTCGGTAACAACCAGAACTCAAATATCAAATTTCAAGAATTCTATCAATTAGTTCCGTAGATATGGTGAAAAATGTAAAATCGGCCCGCAGATCAGTTTTCGAGCCCTGATCTTTCCAAAAAATTTATATGGTCATTTTTTTAATACGAAGAACCTAAATATTAAATTTCAATAAAATCGGTCGATTATTTCTCTTTATATACACAAAAATGTATATTTGGCCCGTAGTAAACGTCCAGTTGCTGACACCTGATTTCTTCCAAAAGTTAGGAGGTTTCGCGGACGGTCAAGCTGAGCTTATATATGAAATTTCAAGTAAATCGGTTGAATACCGACAGACCGATAGGTTGCTAAAAATAGTTTATTTACACTTCCCTACTATGGAGAAGTGCATTCCCACCGAAAACTCGATATGCAAAATTTGTTGCCATCACATAACCTACCTATTGTATACACAATACGGTCGGTAATAAAATATGTATAGTTGAACAACAACCAAATAGTAAAAAGTAAAATTATTATAATTTCACTAAGAAAAGCCAATTTTATTTAAGGTCCCAATATTTAATACATCACAATAAAATTCAACTTTAAATTTATGTAATTTATGATTTCGAAAATGTTGTTTCAAAAATTGTAAATTTTAAAAAGCCATTTTATACATTTAAAAAAGTGCTACTTTTCCTGTTAATAAACTGGTTTGATCAATAAATTTTTGATGTAAAATCTGCTCTTAAAGAAAGATCTCGGTAGTTCAAAAAGAGCACGGTCGTTAAATATTTCACAAATATTTCCAAATTAATTTCCTTATATTTAGCGTTCATTAAAA